TTTTAATCTATATAATAAAAACCTATTAATATATTATAAGTTAAATGTTAAAATTCTGATATTTCTAAGCTCGAACTTGCAACCTCATTTTGAGAGGCAAGACGATGCACCACTGGAACCATTGGAAGCTATTGTCAACCGTTGCACGACATTATACTTATTGATACCTAATTGAACCGGTGGTTTTAATAGTTAAACCAGTTTAACCAGGATCCGGAGATCAAAATGGTCTTACCTCCAGGTCGATTTTCAAAACCTTGGTTATGAGCATTTTTTTATAATTTCGAGATTGAGTGTACATTTAATTTAAAGAGTTTTTTTTAACATTTTTTATAAAAATACAAGTTAAGAGAGTATTAATTATATATTTTTATAATTAATTTTATAAAAAAAATAGAAGTTAACTTTAATTTATTAATTATTTAATTAATTAAAATCATTCACATAATATTAATATTAAAATAATATTTATTTTTATATTTTTTATATAAATTTATTATAAAAATATACAATTAATATATTCTTAACACATATAAAATATAAATTAAAAAATCATAATTTAAAAGATCAAGAGCACTCTTGCAGATAATCATGTGAGATAATACGTATTTTTATGATTTAAAAGACTAAATGCCACAATCTAAACAAATCGAGTTTTCAAATCTAATAATTTCTTTTTAAATTTTAATATTTAAATTTAATTGATAAAAAATTCAACACCTACTAATTATTTGTTAAAAAATCCCTCATTTTCCTATAATTCCCCCGATGTACATAAAAGAAGAGAAAGAAAAAAGGAAAATGCCACAACCCAGACAACGAAGAGGTTGTTGGAGCAATTGATGGGAGTGACAGCACCATAGGAGTAATGAACTGGGCCCTCTTAGGGCCACCGGTCGGTAGTTTTGTTGCTTTCGGTGTCAGCGTTGGCCGTCCTCCAATGAGTATCTGTCATAAGAGAAATAATTTTATTATTAAATTAATTACTATAAAAATCGATCCGGATCTTATGATCTAATGGTTCAATCACAATCTTTAAGTGTTTAAATAAGGTGGTCGGAGTTTCGAATTCTATCACCGTCGTGAACTTCATCAAAAATGGTCTGCTGGCTGCACGCTTTATTTGAAGGAGTAGAATGTTCACTCGGTCTGAGAACCAACTACTAACAATTAATTCACTAACTTCTTAATCATTATCCTTGTCAAAAAAAAAAAAATACTATAAAAATCAAAATCTCTTTCACTTGGTGTGAGAATATTTTTTGATATTTTAATTTTTTGTTTTCATATTTAAGTTTTAAATAAATAAAAATAAATTTTTAAATAGATTTTTCAAAAATAAATTTCGGGAGACAAATCTACCTTATACTATCCCCCGTATGTAGAAATGTATGAGAATAAAAAATAAAATTTTCCACCTTTTGAGTCAATGATTTCCTTTATAAATTTGATATATATATATATAATTTATATATAAATAAATTTAATTATATATAATTATGTTTTTTTGAAAATTTAAATTAATTATTTATTACTTCAATTTTTTTAAATTTTTTTTAAACAGAGGAGCAATTACTTGGGAAGAAGGGGCTAAATTTAATAAATAATTTATTAATTATGTGGTTTATTTTAGTTTAATTTAAAAATAATTTTTTTAAATTATTTATAGATTATTAATTTTATTTCAAAATAATCTATTTCACAGTATCATATTAAGTTAATTCTTTAGTTGATTTTTTACATTTATTAATTACTTAAAAAAATCCCTCGTTTCCTTATAATTCCCCCAATGTACATAAAAGATAAGAAAGAAAAAAAGAAAATGCCACAACAGACAACAAAGAGGTTGTTGGAGCAATTGACAGGAGTGACAGCACCATAGGACTAATGAACTGGGCCCTCTTAGGGCCACCGGTCGGTAGTTTTGGTGCTTTCGGTG